GGAGAAGGACTCCGCACTGGCCAAGCGGCTGTACTATATCGATGAGACTGGCTACGTCGGGTGGCGGTTGACACTGGACGGCGCGTGGGCGCGTTTGGTCACAGAGGCTTTTATCAGCAGACAGCACGGCCATAACTGATATTGTGAATCCAAGCCCCCCCTTTTTCAGTCGAAGCTGCAGGTCAGTGTGCTACTGCTTGATCGGGCTTAGTGCTTGGCCTGCATAGAGTAGACAAGCTGAGAGAGGCCACATTCAAACGGTGTTACCTGTCTCGCACAGGCTATCGAGGGCCTTTGTCTTGACACTGGCAGGCGGCATGACGTATATTGCTATGGATCGACAGAGATCCAATTAGACCGACGGGAGACCGGCACAAACAAAAAAAAACAAATAAATTTGGTTTTAATTTAGTTCATACTTAAGCGACGTTCTAAACCTCTCGGCAAATGAGAAGCTCAATATCTGTATACGTAAGACCGCACTAACTCTTAGACATCAGTGCTCTGGGCCTTCCGAGTCCACAGTCGATCCGGGGCGGTAGTGGCACTCTGGAGCACCCAGAGGGCTAGGATTGTCGGTTGATCCGCCCAGGGGTTTGCCCTCTAGTTCGTCCCCGATGGTCCCAGTCAACCCTAGCCACTCGATCTTGAAGGGACACTGTGTTACGTTAAAGTGTCAGGTGAACGGTCTGCCTCGTCTCAGCTTTGGTTGGTATTGAGATTGGAAAAAAAGAAAAAAAGAAAGAAAACAAAGAGAAAAAAAAAAACGACTTGATATCGAAGAACCTCTGCATAGACCATGTGGGTCAAGTACGCTATCACAATTTCCCATTTGATCATGGAGTCGCGAATTACTCGTACGGAGGACTTACATCAAGGAGTGTGGGACTACGGGTACGGCTTAACCCAACGGAAGACCGCGGGACCCTCGCACCCTGCATCGATCACGGCCCACACCAATGAGAGCCCGGCGCGAAAATGGCGCCGTTGACTTTTTAGACCTTTTAGCCCCAAACGAAGAGCGAGAGCGCGAGAAAAAAAGGGGGGACATGCAACCGTGCACATATTTTAGCTCCAACCTTCAAGGCTGATTTTCTCAGGAACTGAGAGATTGGAGTGCCTCGAACATTCGACGCAACGGTGGCCTATTGGGTCAGAAGTCATTGGTGCAGCCTAGCCCAAAGGTTTCCCTGATGCTCAGCTGAATGGGCAAACCCCGGGGCTAACCTCATATTGGCAGCACCCTGTTCTTAGTAGAGAATTAATCGATTTGTGTTTCCTTTTTGCGGCTTTTGCTTTTTTGTCTTCCTCGTGTACATGGCCTAGTAAACCTCCGAAGGCAGAGTCCTGTACGCCCGTAATTTCACCCTCATGCAAAGTCACTGCGCAACAGTGATAATCAGCAGTGCGTTTTTCCTTTCTCGTCCACTAAGTGGGCTGGGACTCAGCAAGAGAGCCTCATGAGCCGCCCGTTCCAGGGCTTCCACGGTTACAAACACACAGCCTGCGATACCAACGCCAACGAACGGGCGCTCCGTACTAACTCTACATGTTTCCGAGATATGTGGCTACGTCGATTCCCAGATATTACTCGTATGAGGGTATAAACGGCCTAGGCAAACGTCGACTTAATTTCGCAGCCGAGCTGTAGCCAACATGTGCCTAGCCACTAATTTTACCGGCACATTTCACAAGCACAAGGGACAGAACCGAAACAATGCTTGAAATGATCCTCAAGTGTCGTGCATCAGCCGGTGTCAGAGCCCGGAGAAAATTGGGAAGAAGGAGGGGGGGCAATCGTGCATCTCGAGAATTTCTCGCAATTTTAATTTGTTTGGGTTGACCTCATCGGTCATTACGAATACAGCTCCAACGTTGATGGATTTGCCAAGCGCAACTAAGACGCCGCTAGAATAGTTGCGGGATGGAGCAAACCCGGGTGGAGGCCCGCATCTTGGGAGTGATTCACCCCAGGATTGGCTGTCGTGACGGAATCGATACTTTTCTAGCATTAGCTTCCGAGGAAATCCTCGATCGATATCTCTGTCGACCCGTAGGACATGCCCATTCCCCATCTCCAATCTCCACGCAACGGAAAGCAGCAGCCGATTTCACCAGCAGTTCATAGGATCGACCGACAGGGTTACACGCGAACCCAACGTGCTTTTTATCATGAAGGGGAGAGCGTTAGGTTGTTTCGAGTTCATTTAGGGCAAGAGGTGCCGAAGTCTCTTTGCACCATTGGGCCGTGGAAACAAAGAGAGATCGGTGTAACTTACCTTGACTCGTACGCGTCGAGTGCTACGGAGTACTATATTATTTTCTTTGGTATTATTCCGCCGATCCCTCTCGATATACTCCGAAGGGGGGGGGGGGGGGGGGGGGGGGGGTTCCTTTCCCCCCAAACCCGCCCTGAAACCGGCCTCCGCCGGGCCCGGGGGAACCGCCAACACCCTTTCTTTTTTTCCTCGGGTCCATCCCCACGCCCC